AAGAACAACCAGTGTTCTTAACTGCTGAGCCATCTCTCCAGCCCCCATACTTCAGTTTTTTATCCAATGTAGTGATGGGGGTATATATCATTTTTGTCTCAAAAAGTTTTTGTGGTGGTTTTTTTATTTTGTTTTGTTTGGGTTTGTTTGTTTTTGAGACAGGGTTTCCCTGTAGCCCCACATGGCTCACTGTGTAGATCAGGCTGGCCTCAATGTCACTGAGATCTGCCAGCTCTCCTTCCTGACTGCTGGGATAAAGAACCATTACATGCAGCTCTTAAATTTTTTTTAAATTTATTTTGTTTGCAGCAGCTGGGAATTGAACCTAGGGCTTTGCACATGCTAAGCAAGCACTCTTACCATTGAGCTATATCCCTACTAAAAATATATAATTTTTTTTATCAGAAACTTTATTTTAAAATATTAGAAATGGGGAGCTAGAAAGATGGCTCAGTGGTTAAGAGCACTTACTGCTCTTGCAGAGGACCTGGGTTTAGTCCCCAGCACCCATATGGTGATTCACAACTACCTGTAACTCTAGTTCTATAGGATTCAGTGTCTACTTCTGGCCTCTGTGGGCACTAGACATGCACATGTGCACATAAATACATGCAGACACTCACACAGACACATAAAAATTATAATATCAGCCAGGCCTGGTGGCACATGCCTTTAATCTCAGCACTTGGGAGGCAGGGGCAAGTGGATTTCTGTAAGATGGAGGCCAGTCTGGTCTATATAGCAAGTTCCAGGCTGGTTGGGGCTGGCAACAGGGAAACCTTGTCTCAAAAACACCAGTCGTCATTGTCATCATCATCATCTAAAAAGAAATGCAAATGTATCATTTATTTTTGCAATTTTACATTAATTGGAGCACAGGACTTAACAAATTCACTTGTATACATTATACTAGATTGATCTGCATTGGCTAGACGGGGGCACAAGTGACCATCACAAAGTGGGAGACTTGGAACTTTAGATATGAACTCAGGAAATATTTTCAGTGAGCTCCTGACAGGCTCCTGGCCCAAGCCTGCTTGGGCAGGTGGAGGTACTGTTTATGTACTTTTAAACATAGAGAATGCCAGGTGTGGTTTAATCCCAGCACTCAGGAGGTAGAGGCAGGTGGCTCTCTGTGAGATCAAAGCCAGCCTGGTCTACATAGTGAGTTCCAGGACAACTGGGGCCATAGGGAGACCCTGTCTGAAAAAACAAACAAGCAAATCTAGAGAGCCTGGGCTGCAGAGGAGCATCTGGCCTGTACAGCCCACATAACCTTATTAATGTGTGCCTCTGATAGCCAAATGCAGTACAAAATCTTACCACAAGGTGGTGTGGAGGGCTTAGTTGCATTTTACCACATACTAGAATTTGTTCCCATGTACTAGAAAAAATTAGGGGGAAATGTCCTTTTTCAGATCATAAGAGAAAAACATATGTTTTCAACTTAATGAGCTGTCCAGCAGAGGTCAGTCTGGATGTATAGAGACCAGGTTAGTCCAGCAGCACTCTGATAGTCTGTTAATGGCTTATTTTATAAAATGATCTTGCAGTTAGTCTCATCATAGCAGTTACTGCTTGGATAAAATATAGAAAATTCTTTCTAGCTGTGTGTGCTGGTATACAACTATGATCCTAGGAATAAGACAAGAGAACTCAAGTTTGTGGCTGCCTGGGCTATGCATAAGAAAGACCCTGCCTCAAAAATGAAGCTCCTTTAAAGTGAATCTGTTTGCTGATCTCCTTAAATAAAATATACTTCATCCTGTATTTTAATAATATAGTCTTACACAGTCTCTGCACTTGAGTAACATAATACTCAAGTAATTTGTAAAAATGGAACCTTGAAAGATCTATGGGAAAACTCAGAATCCAGGGTTGAGGAGATAATAGGAAGTAGTTTCTTGGGTTAGTTCCTCTACTGATTTGCTCCTTGATACTTCATGGAGTTATTCAGGGAGTCAAACAGCTACCCAAGGCCCAGGCCCATGCCTAGCATCAGATGGCACTGTCATTAGGAAGACAAGCCCTTAGTGTAGAATACTGACTAGAATTGCTGCCTAGCAGTGATTGAAAGTGAAACACAGTGGTTTTCTTTTCAAATAAGTAGCTCTTCCTTCCAATTAGATATTTCCTGAAAAACGGGGTCATCATGCTTTGTAGAGATTCACTAAATAAGAGTTGTATAAGAACTCATTATGATAAGACAGCTCAATGGAGATTATATGACGTGAATATATTTTTCCTTAGGGAAAACTCTCAAACCCACTACAAGGTAGTAATAGCACTTTGGACACCAAAAGAAAAAGAAAATAAAATCAAAAGTGAAAATAACACTGCCTCCCCTACCTTTTTCTTTTTTTTTTTTTTTTTAAGGCAAGATCTTGCCATTAGCCCAAGCTGACACAGAACTCACTATATAGCCCAGACTGGCTTCAAACTCATGATCCTCCTGCCTCCACCTCCAAGTTACTAGGTATTTTACTCTTAAAGACAGACAGGGGGTGGGAGGGAACCAATGCATTACCATGAAGAAGGACCTGAAATAAGTGCCAACTTAGACAACAATAGAGTATTATATGGGTGTATTTAAAAAGCTGGAACCTAGTTAAATTCCACATGAGGATTTGATGGAGAAGCCTGATAGCTGGTTGCTGTGGAGACTGAAATGTAGACTGATGCAGTTGGAATCACTGATGTCTTCTGGTTGCATTTGCTGCTCACCTGAATGAACTGAGCAATATTGAAGAAAAAAACTGACAATTTTCCAAGTTCTACTCTGAGAAAAAGAAAAGGTAAAAGTATGTCTTGGATTCAGCCTGATAGGAAGGGCTGCCTACACTTATGGCTTCCATTGAATAATCTTCATCTTCCCTCTTCTTCAAGGCCTTTCTGTCCAGGAAAGGGCTAGCTGGTCAACAAACCCACAGAAAATTCAGATGGTGTGGTAGCCCTCCAGGGAACAGAGAAAGGTACCTAGAAATTCTAGGATCTCTGCTTTCAAAATATGAAGGGACTGCTTACAGTTTTGACTTGTGGCCTAGAAATAGCCGTAGAGGTGACAAGGCCTATCATTTTCTTTTTATCCAATGGTCATTGGGACCAGCTCAGTGGAGTAGTTGATCTACTGTTACATGGTTTTCTCTTGAGGCTTGTTCCCTTAGTCCTTGAACATTCCTAATGACTGCCTTCCCAATTCATGGTCAAGGTGAACTCAGGAACTTAAGTAGTTTCACCTCAACACCAGCTTTGCTTCTGCTAGTGTTGTTGCAATGGTCTGTGTACCCCACCTCATCCCATGGGAAGCCTGAGAGCCCCACAGTCCCTCTTCTGGGAAGCTTTCTCCTCCTTAGTACCCCTGCCAAACCCTGTGTGTACCTCTGTCACATATAGTATTTATGATTAAACTCCCGTCTCCCCCCATTTGTGAGCACCTCCCTCATCTTCTGGGCCTGAATCCTCTTGCTCCTGTTTGATCAGCTCTATAGTGAGTTCTCCCCTCCAGAAGAGCCTGCTAAAACCTGACAGAGAGCAATACTGTTCTGGGACTTTGTTTTAGGGACTTTGATCACTAAAACCACAGCAGACAATTTTAAAGATGCAGGGTACATAGATGAGCTAACTTGCAAGAACCAAAAGTCCACCCTATTGCTTAGGTACTAAAATGTTGGTCCTTGGGTACGATGTTGGGTACTAAGCCCAGCAATGTGTAGGGGATGGAGGTTCGGGGCATGTGAGACCCTGAAGTGACTGAAGTTTGATTTTCTACCCTGGCAAAATGGTGATCAAATTTTAAGTTCAATTACTGAAAATAAATGTGTTTTTCCACACTTGAGTGCTGTGTTTTGAATTTTAGACCTACTGCAT